GCGCTTTAAAGCTTGGATGAATACTGTGAGTAAAGCTGCATTCGGTGACCCTGTCATGAGTGGAACACAGAGAAAAAGATGTTAAAATAATACAAAAGGTTCATTAAAAATTAATGCAATAAAATATACTGATCTTGTAGTTTTTGGAATAAACTTTTTGTTTCTTGTAATCTTTTTGTATTAATACTAATATTTGATTACTTTTTATGTCTGTTATGTAGTTCACAACTGATAAGTAATTTATGCAGCTTCTATTTATTTAAATAGTGAGCTCCTAGTTCAGAAGAATAGTGACAAATGAATGAGTGGATACATGAATGAATGAATGAATAAATTAATAGAACTACTCTGCTGGATCACAAATCGAATGACTTCCACTATTAAACCAACACTTCATTTGAAAACTAATACGTCAAAATTTCAAAATAATGGTGCACTATAATAAGCAGGTTTTTCAAAATGTTCCCATGTTTGTCATGTTTTTTGTAGCAATGGCAACTTACCAACATAATTTAATGCAACGTTTATCCAGTCATCTTTGAAATTGTTTTTCGCTGAATAATAGACTACACAAATTCAAATCCTGTTTCCCCATGTGATCAAGTAAGAAAAAGTGAACATTCTGATCACAACCAGACTGCAGTATTCAAATATATTGGTTGGTAAAGATATTGGTTGAAAGACTCAACTTGCAACAACTGAATTCACTTTTTTGATTCTATTGTTCTAAGTATTATATATTGTGCTAAAACTATGTAAAAATTGATTTGGTTCCATATAAGGATTTTTCAGTCTAAGCTTTAATAAGCCGATGTTACCAACTTATAATTTGAGATATGGCATGATATATCTGCCATAGGAACCTATGGTAAAAGCGTTATACTAGACAAAATGACCACTATACACTAAAAATACAACCATCATTTTCTGAAAAATTAGGCTCATGACCCGAACATTTTTTAAGTCAATATCCTTATATTGCCAGAGTACAATTCATTATGTGTATTTGAATTTATGAGTAGGCATCTACCTTCAGTGTACATTACTGAATTACTATCAGAAAACTGAACATTTTTTTATGAAGATATTTGAATATAATCGTTTGTATATTTACCGGTATATATTGAATATTACCGTACATTCTGCATCATCATCAAGTGTGGCATGGAATGTTGAAATATTAAAACATATTTTCAGGTAGCAAGGAGATTGTCATGATGGGAGTCATACTAACCGTTAATTGAGACACAAAAAACAAAACTTATACAACCAGTTTAATTTAAAACATAATCAATATTGAGATACTATTAAGATTGTTTTTATTTCAGAAATAACAGAAAAATAACACATACTGCACATTTGTGACTTTATAAAAACACAACTGCAAACTTATAATTTAAACATTTGCAACAAATAGTCTTAAAATATACTTCTAACTTACTGTAAAACATGTTTAAATAGCTACATTATATTTTAGTGAATTTGACTCCATGCATGAATTAACTAAATCTTAATTTAGCTAAATTCTCAACATTCTCATTGTGAAAATATACTTGTTTATATGTTTTAAATTAGCGACATCTTAAATTAGCGAAATAACAGATTAGCTAAATTAGCTAAAATAACATGCTAGCTAAAAAGACATGTTTTACAGTATTTCAAATGAAGAAAACCTAAATGAAGCAGACAACATTTTAATAAAAAAAATGTTCACCCAAAACAAAACCCTTTTTACAAGTCAGACTGGTTAGGAAGTTGTACAGTACGCCAACCTGGCACTGTGAGAAAAGTGGAGTAAAATATAACTTACAAAGGGATCCAGTGTCTAACATATCTAGGTATTGAGAATTATAGGACTAGGCAGGTTAACAAACTATCTATGGATAGGGCATTTGACCTTGGCAGTTGTATTCTGTATCTATATGATCAATATTCCAGTAAAGACATGATTCTCAGATGTACCGGTATATCATTGTAGTTAGTTGCAGCTAAACTGTCTTTATGGAAACAATGCAATGCATATTAGCTGCAATAATTATACTAATTACAGGAGAGGCTAAAATTCAGTTCCTTCAACAGAGAAGGTGTGTTAGGCCAAACCCACAAAATAACTTGCTCAGCATATGTTGGTGATGTTGGTGAGTTGGTTTAAATTCATGTAGCAATTAAGAAGTGAAGATCATTAACTCCCAAATAAAAAAAAATACATTTGACAATTTTACTAGCATTCATGTTATTTTTTGGCTTTAAATAAATTGTTCTGAAGCATTTACAGAATGCAGCAGAGATATGACAGGTTTTCAGCAGAGAATTATGGTTTTACAGCTTACATAGATGTCCTGTTATAATCCGAGCAAATTCAATAGGAACATATTTCAAATGCTTGACTCAAAAAAATTGTCCAGCGTACCTAATTGTCATTTCTTATATCCTTATGGAATAGACACGTTATAATGAACCTCTTTATACAAAGTAGATAATTATTGGGGGTGGGGGGCATTAGTTAACCCATTCAGCATTGAAACTTGAATGAACATACATTGTATATTTGCAAAACAATCCCTTCCCTTCCACTCTAGTATCATGCATGGATCACGCAACAACAACAATATTTATGATTCAAACAGCGTGATTATTGCACATGAGCTCTCAGCAGAGTTCAATGGTTCATACATTGTTACTGATTGTTATCTTGCGATGATATCAGTTAGTCACCATTCACCAGTAACTCCAGCACTTTATATTCCAGTGAAAAATCGTACTGCAATAAAATGAAATATTGGTTTATAGGTAGATACTGAATAATTACATTTTATCGGTGGCAAAGGTCAAAATTAAGCGTATAGGCATAGTCAAATGAGGTGGGTGTTACTACCAAATGTGCTCAAAAAACTGATTAATAAATTTGTTAATGCAAATATGACAATAATTCTGTCAACAAAAATTTGAAGACAATGATTGAATAAAAATGTGCTTCTTTGCATTCATTCCTGTGAACACCTAAAAGTGGTACCAACTCAGGTTAGTTTGTATGAGTTTAGAGAGAACTATGTATGAGAGAGAGAACTACCTCTTGAAGTGGTAATTTACATAATGTACAATGTATGTTCATCAAAAAGGAGTACAATTGCCAGGAGCTTTATTCCAATGCATTATCAGATTTCCCCTCTGGTGGGTGGACGGGACAAATTTTCTGGGATTCTTACCCATATTATATGTGCATAAAAAATACTGTAAACACATTAATTATTCATTTGGGTTTTAATTTCACTGTTTTCAGTGATAAATTCAATTTGCTAAAATTAAATCTTCATGAACATATTCTCTTCACTTATATATGGCATTTGGATGTCACACAAGCACCCCATCACGAGAGGGCGCAATTTAGTGGAATACTGTGAAAAGACTTTTTGGGTGTTTTGTATGGATTTTATTTTCACTGATTATTGACGAGTTGAATTTAAAATATACGAAAAAAAATATATTCGCTGGATTTTATTTTCACAGAATCATTTCTTCAGTGAAAATTAATTTTACAGTAGTATATTGATTGAGCACAGCAAACTGACACCAGCAAAGTATATATTTATTACACTATATTTGACTCTTTATATAATTTTACTTGAATTATGAATTATTAATCAACTCATACATGCTCATAGTATTAAATTCCATTCTTTTCAAGTGAAACATTCAGTGTTAGAAAATCATCAATGAATATTACATGTCAACAACAATTTTAGAGAAGACAAGATCCTTACCTTATACTTACTATCCAGGTCTGGTCTATTAATAATATTAGGCATAGTCACAGGTAACAAAACCTGCAAAGTATAGGATAAGTGAAAACTGAATTTAATTAACTAATTGTGTTTTATACCGGAAAAACATAATATAAAACCACACTAGCAAGAAAATAATTAACTTTTGTCATTCAACTAGACGGAAATGAATTAGGGAAGTTTATCCAAATTTAAATTTGTTGCCATGAAATCATTAATTGAAGTGTACTAGCTAATAAATGGAGAGGCAACTACGGCAAACACCAAACATCTCTCAGTACATCTCATTCTATTGCATAAGCACCTGGATGCATGCAATAACTGCCATATCATACCTTTTTCAGTTTTAAAAAATTGCTGTATAAAATACCAGGGGTATGTTCAGCAAAGACTTGTCTAGTTAGGCTTAGTGAATATAATGAGAAAATGTTGTGTTAATTTCTACATGCACTAGCTAATAATCTATGTGCATAGTGCAGTGTGCACCAGAGTATTTCGACCCCTGTGTACTATCATTTACTTGCATCCAATCACAAAGTAGTTGTCCTGCCAAATGTTAATTCTAAGCCATTCTTTAACCCATTTTCAAAAACACTGTATAACAAATTCATTTATATTCTACTAGTTTATGGGTGTGTTTTTTTTAATTTGTCCAATGATAAATATACTGTAAAGAGGTTAATTATTCACTGGGTTTTAATTTTGCTTATTTCACTGACTGGAAAATGCGCTAAATTAAAACCCAGTTAATATGTAAAATTTAGCATAGAGCACATTATCTAAATGATAAAACCGTGAATTTAATACCCACTTGAATATGCCTGAAATGGTAAATCAGCAAAATTTAAACCCAGTGAAAATTAGGCATTTTACAGTAATTATTATTTTTGTGGATTTTGTATGTGAAGTAATCTTGCACAGCAAACAGTCAAAATCACATTCCAATCCCAAGAGATATATTAAAAAAAAGGCTGCAGTTGCCTGTCTCTGTATTCTTTAGTATCACTGTTCTATTATATCTTAACACACTCACCCTGTTTTGTGACAAGGAATCTGCTATTTTCATTTCTACACCATCTAAAGTTGAACTAAGTGCCATAGAAGAGCTGTGTTTGAGTAATGGCTGTGGCGCGTAAAAATTTGGTTTGCCTGAAAACAAACAAAATCAAAGAAAGCTTAGAAAGAACTCTGAAAGTACATGTATTGGATGCATACTTGAAATTGATTCAAAATTTGAGATTAGCCTTTTTGAGATGCACAACGTGAAAACAATGTGATTCCACATTATTAAAGTTTATAATACTCACAGAAAATAAATTTGATTGTACATCTGTGGTTTGCAGTCTGATTTATACCACAAATTCAATTTAAATCTGATTTTTTGAAATTGGCTAATAACAATTATATAATCAATATGCAAGGTTTTCTTTATTAAAATAATCCTGTCTGGTTTATCTCAGAGCAAATTTCAAAGAAATGTGATAGTATATATATTACATAATTTCAAAACTATATACTGGTAGCAAATAATGAAATAAAATAATTGGTTTTTGAGATTTATGGGAACCATTACATTTTGAGTTAATGTGCCAGACAATAAAAAGTGTACGAATGTGATGTTAATAATCTTGATTGTGTCAATGCTAGTGACCTAGTTTACCCCAAATAAGGAGAAATTTTTAATTAACATTCAAATGAGTGCAGATGTGTTTTGGAGCAAATGCAGTTACGGCTTTGTACGAAACAGTAAATTCTATTGTTTTCAGTACTACATGTAGATGTATAAAAAATCTTAATTATATAAATGTATCATAATAATTATAATTCAATTATAATTCTGGTGCACTCTGTGATGGGGCGTAACCTAAGATTCTCAGACAGAGGAAGAATGCATACATAAGTAGTGAATTCATAAATGCATAAATTCACAGTCACACACTCTACATACTAAATTTGGACACCCTTTCAACAAGGCGAGTCATAAAAATAGAAGTATACAAAGTAAAAATATCAGTAAACAATGCTGTACGATCTGTGTTTGAGAGATATAAGGCGACACATGTATCAAAATTTCAAGTAAAGATTTTAATTATGACTTCATTTAAAAAATCGGTCATGACAAACGATCATGGAGTTGGATACAATTTTTCTACATCCACAGTCTATAATAGAGGGACTGTGCAATGTATAATGGATACAGGCGACGACTGAATTAAGGTTGCTCAATACAGTTTTCTGAATGTGATGGGTTCAAAGCTCAGTACAGGAGTTTCTTTTTTCACCCCCTACCCTACCCCAGGCGCTGGAGGTTGTAATGTTCTGCCCGCCCGGTAGGATAATGTTACACAAACAACACTCCAGTCTGACTGCTATCAGAACAGAGTTCCGCCCACTCACTAATTAAATGCATGCGATCTTTACTCTTTGAACGATATCCAATCACACGCGACTCTTGATGTAGCTGTTAATAAACAATTGAATATATTAACTAACCATATATGGGAGATGGTGGGTAAAATCAACATTGATCATGTTGGTGTTTTTATCCCAGTTTCTCCAGTGCTGTCGTCGATAGTAAGTGGTTGAGTTCATTTGGGAGTAATTTTTGTTGGAGTTCATGTTGTACGGTTTTCTACCACGATCTGGATTTAGTTCATCGACAAACTTGTTCGAAGTTTCTTGTGTCAGACTGGAGTTAGACCAGCGTAATTAATCCCGAGCATTGGATATTATTTTGCTTTTATCATTATTAATTTGCTCCTGTGATAATCTTGAAAAAACATGAAATCACGGTTTCGGCGGATTGTCAGCGATTTTGTCAAAGGAAACATGATTACGCCAAATCACGCCGCAACCAGTCGGCAAAAACACAACAGTGTCACGGCGGTTTACAATCTCTTCAATTGCCGTAAACTGTTTGAGAGATGGCACACCAGGAATGTCTTGTAAAATAGTCTTGAAGGCTAATTTCAGCTTTTCCTTAGCAATCATGGCAACATTTTTACATTATGAACAGTTACACACAACAGTCTAAACTGAGACGCACGCTGACATCGAGAACTGAAAATGGCGCCAGTCAGGTGATTTTGTTTGCGACATTTGCTATAAATAGAGTGGGTGTTTGATTGACACTTGCGTCACCCAATCAGCACTACATCTATATTTTATGAATGGCGCACTCAGTTTCGATAGCAGTCAGACTGGAGTGTTGTTTGTGTAGCATTATCCTACCGGGCAGGTGGAACATTACAACCTCCAGTGCCTGGGGTACCCCTACCCTAACTTTAACTCAATCCTCCAGCAACTGTATATGCTTATCTAAGAACACCTATAGTTATCTAGAGGGAACACATACAATTGAATTGGGATGGGGGGGCTTAGGTTGAGGGTTATATTTAGGGTGGGGATGGTTGATTCGTCCCACAGGTTGATTCGTCCCAAGTCGATTCGTTCCACAGGTTGATTCGTCCCACAGGTTGATTCATCCCACATGTTAGTTCGTCCCAAGTCGATTCGTCCCACAGGTTGATTCGTCCCAAGTCAATTCGTCCCACAAGTTAAATCGCCCCGAAGTTGATTTGTCCCACAAGTTAATTCATCCTAAAGTCGATTCACCCCACAAGACAATTCGTCTCAAAGTAGATTCGTCCCAAAGTTGATTCATCAGATTTAAGATTAGCCCACTACAAACTCGCCCTTGTGAGCACAAAAAGATCTGAACAACAAATTGTTCATGTGCTTGTCATGCTTGCGTAATTGTTACGGTATTTTGTATTTGCCGACATTGGGTTATACCATTTGAATCATCAATTTTACTACAGGAATGAAGCAGTCGTTAGTCTAATTAGCTCTAAAAATCACGAGTCAGACCCGCTGTTTTGTTGAGTAAATAAGTGGACATGATGACGGATAAGACATGAAACAAAAGGCGTGAAAAAAAAGAGTTAAATCTGGATTAAAACTTGTATTCTCTCTTCCCCTACTATCTTCCATCTACGTCTTTAGAGTTGTATATATTTATAGGATACACTATATTAACAACAAGTAACAACTAGTTTTATTCAATACCAAGATTGACAGCCGATGCGCGAACGTACATCTAATAATTCGGCAAGATCAGTAAAACACACTTTTGACAATAAAATGTAAGTGAGGAGTAGCGAATGGTGGAATGCTCAAAGGAAATTGAAATGCAAGTTATATGCAAGTATTCATCTTCAAGTACAGTGAAAGTCGATTGACCTGGCACCCCCACGGTAAATATAAGCAAGTATGGTGGTGCTGGGTAGTCATATTTCGTTGTATATAGCAAGCGTACCAGTAAACTATATACAGTTGGCCAAACCTGCAACGTAAACCGACAAGACATACATTGTAGCATATATATACTGCACGTCAACTTCAACCTCTTGCACACAAACACAGAAATTGATCCTGCCCAAGATCGTAATGCTGACCAATGCATGCTCGGGTCTCTGCTTGGAGGATTTTGTCTTTTTGCTCTGGTGTTTCGATTTTCACAGGATTTAACAGATATCATGCTTGAGTTTTGTGAAGCGAATCGAAATATAATTTCGAAAATCTTGTTATTTTCGTGAAATTGAGATGTCAAGGTTTCCTACCTTGTGTTATTATATAAGTGGTAGGCGAATGTACCGGCGACTGACTAACTATGCCAATCCTACTTTAGGTCATTTTTTATTATCAAAGTTAAAAAAAGATTTTAACTCCATGGTTAGAGGTGCAAAAAGAACCTCCAACTCTGTAATCCATTATCTCAAAAATAACTGTGAAACTGTATTGAGCGATTTTAATGAATCCACATTCAGCTGACAAGCCCCCTTGTTGGCAGTGCACAGCGACACACGCCAACAGACTATGAAAATGTCACGGACACTCACCTTGATTTCTGCCACCATAGTTGGGTGGATACGTCGGTCCCGGATACTTGTAGTCACGGTACTGTTGGTGTTGCATAGTGGCTAGGACGACAGCTCTTTCAAGGTTACGAGTTTGAAAGACGAAAATAAAATGTGATTAGATAACAAAACAGTGTCTCACATAATTAAAATGATAAAATGGCAGACATCACAATCATGAAATCAGTCAAAACTGTAGTTGCTTCCGGGATAGCGCAATACTTCTAGTACGATAGTTCGAAAATATTAATAATATATTATAATAAAAAATTCATACTGATGAATTATAGTAGAATATTTTTTTTATTTATATAAAACATATTTGAGTGAATACTTTTCAAACAGGCAACAAATCTCTAAACGAATACTGTTATGCTAATTACTAGTACACGATGTATACGCCCTCACAGTCATTGGCATTTAGGGCATTTATATTTTAATTTCAGTTTCAGAGGGACTATGATGTATTTAGACGAATCATTGTTGAAGAATAATATTCTGCAGTTCGGCAACGCTAAACGCTACATCATGAGTTGAAAAAAATAGCCTTTCTTCAAGGTGACGTCATTTATGCTAAAAATAGACCATCATAAATCCAAGATGGCCGCCTCTTTCAGGTCTTGTATCAAGATCATCGCTAAAAAGAGGTAAATTGGGTTGCTTATCGTGTTATTTCTTCGACGCATTTGTCAATTTGTTTAAGGTGAGTTCTTATTCCTTATATTGTTGACTCATGTCTCACGTTGGCAGCATTTTTCACTTCTTGAAGCAATGTGTCAAACTCAAAGAATAAGCTGCTTGCCATTAATTATCGTTGAAACGTTTTAAAAACATTAAACATTGCTGTACAGGGTTATCATTGGCAAACCCTTTTTTGGGGGGTAACTCACACTCACGTCAAATGGTATTGTTAATCGACAACATTAAATTTCGCTAAAATGAGTAAGAGTTTGTGGTAAACATTGCGCATGATAAAACCATATTGACTCCCTGTTGTTTTATTTTCAAAATCATACGAGTTACAAACATTGTGCGTTACTTTTTTGTCCAGCACATAGTCCCCGGTTGACTGTGCTAAGCCTAACTAATGCTCTTCACATCAGCATTAAGGTAAAATTTTCGATTGAGATAACTGACCATGGTATTGACCCCCATCGATGATTCATACCCTCATGTGATCAGTCTTTCTTATATTATAACACAAGTAGAACGAAAAAATACAAACTGCTGTGATTTTTTGTAAGGTATGCTTCATTTAGTAATTTAATTTAATAATCTAGGTTATTTATTTTTAGTATATATTAGGTTTTGTATGTATAACAGATGAGGTCTTGTGTGGGCAGACAAATATGTATCTAGATCTTATTCTATTGAATGTAATCTTTATTTCATCCATTTAGAAAAGTAAATTTATTTTGGCTTAAAGTGCAATCCGTCAATCCTTGGAATGGAACTTTAAATTCAATGCTTCACATCTATTCCACATGCTGGTAGCACTTATCCTCATGTATGGCACAGACTATACAGAAAATCGAGAAACAATGAGCTGCAAAATTCATTGAAGTCTGCAAGAATAATATTGAATCCAATAAAAAATCATAGTGTTTATTCTTTGGTTAAGCAAAACTATGTCATGAATTTGACTGAGGTACAGAAAAATCCCTACTGCAGAATAGCTATCACTAAGGTTACAATATCTGGCCTTATATTTCCAATTGAAATAGGGGTATACAAATACTCCCAGATGATCTAAAATTATGCAAATTGTGGTGCAGCTAAAATAGGGGAAATGAATTGCATTCTATTCTCAGATTTTATAGAAAACATAACTAAAAATGATTCTTGTTTGTCATTTTGAGTTGCCAAAGTTATCCATTAATATATGTTGACATACATACTGTTTATTTTCATTTCAGAAAACAACAGTTTTGTATGGTTAGCAGTGTGTCCTCTATGTCGATATAACGTCCCACTGAGCACAAAGATTTGCTGTGATGCAACTAGTTGCTAATTTTCTGGTTTTTCATTGACACAACAGAATTTCATACATTGATATAGTGATCTTGAAAAACATCTTACTATAGTTATGAAATTTGTAATTTGGTGAAACAAAGTCTTATGAACAAAATAATTGTCAAACCAAGGAAATCTAGGGCCACAATATTGTGTTTGTGCCTCAAGTCACCTATACATGTACGGTCACATATTTGTTTGTTCAATGCCTACATCCCAAGAAATCAATAAACTTACTTGATTTGGGAGGGGGGGGCGCTATTTTGTCTCAGGATTCTAAAATTAGTCCTTCTCGGGGACACACTGATGGTCTGGCAATCACTGTTCACAGTTTAGCTAATTCAGCACTGATATTTGTTTTTGTGTGCCTCAAAACACAGTGTGATAGGTGTATTTGAATACAAAACACATGAAATTTCAAGTAATAATTTCCAGAGTGCCCAATTTCACTGAGAAACCTGAGCACCTGGTTGAGACAATTTCATGAGAATAAGATTTCACTGTGGGCAATATTGTATGATATTTGGACCCTGTGACAGAGGTCACTCAACCATTGTGTCAATACATTACATTCTACATACATTGTACATGACACTATACTGTTAGTCAGCAAAAATCGCAAAATGTTCTAGCGGTGAAAATTTATCTGGGGTCCTACAACGTGGAATATCAGTGCCTTTCAAAACATTTTTTCTTCACAAATGCCATGAAATTATCACATTGAGAAAATGGCTAATAGTAAAAACTAAGCGACTGACTTTCCTGTATTATATTACATGTACATGTATGTTAAAAAATGTCTGTTATGTCTGTGTGCAGATGTGTGTTCCACTAATATCTTTTATAAACAATCATCAGATTTCAATAAAACTTGGTACATAGATGCTCTGGGACAATGCACAAACTAGTTTTCAGTTAAAGTCTGTGAATAATAATTAGCTAATTTGCATAATAATCAGCCATTTTTCAGCTTTTGCACAGATAACTAAAAAAATAATCATTGCATTTCAGCAAAATTCTTTTATATAGATGCCAAAGGGCAATGCACAGATGTAATTTGTAATTGATTTAAATTGCTGGACATCAATTACCAAAGTGCTTTTGGATAATCCACAGATCTGATTACTTC